TTCATTTTTTTAAAAACACCTTGTGTGTATTTGTAAAAGTGTATATTTTAATGCACATTTCAAAAAACATAATGCAAATATAAATCCTGTACTTTTTTTTCTTAGCCACTTCAGTAGAAAGCAGAAATGAATATCAGTTTCTTAACTTCTTCATCATCAGTAACTTTTTTCTTCTAAAATGGAACAACTTCAAAAATAATTAGTACACTTTAAGTGAATATCTTTGTGTACACAAAGTGCACTAAGTACATTTGAAGTTGTTTCATTTTAGTAGTATACTTAATACACTTAAAATTGTGCTTTTGTACAATTTAAATACAACTAAAATATATTTAGTATTAAAGTAGTTGTTCCAAAATAGCACTCTTTAAATATACTAATGATTGGTGCAGCTTCAAGTATACTGAAGTATACTTAGATTTAGTATACTTTAGTATCATTTTTTTTTCACCTAATTGGCCTAGAGTTCAAACACAAGGCAACAGGAAGTGGAATATTTTGCTAAAATAAAAAAGTACACATTTTATTTTAAGAGGACAAACAAAACTCCTTTGTGTGATCATAAAGTTGGAGGATAATAAATTCCAGGTGACCGCAGGCAGCTAAAGGAAACTTCAAACACATTTAATCTCAGGAACTCTGTCGTGCATTCCTTTRGAACTGACTGCTGCTGAAACAGGCKTTTAAATCCTGACACAAAAATTCTGAACCAGTGCTGTTAGCTTTTCTTTTCTTTTTTTTTTATTTATGTGCACTGATGTCAGTTGCTGATCCATGCAGGCATTCATCACCATGAGCTGTTCTGTTATTATGTGAGATAATTTACTTTTCTCATTGAAGAGAATAAATGTTTTCTTTCAACCGAATTCTGTAAAGTGCACTCACAGTAGAAACACATTTTCAGCTCAGTAGTTCAGTGGTTAACACTGATGCATCACAGCAAGAAGATCACTGGTTCGATCCCTGGTTCGAACCAGGGGTCGTTCTGTGTGGAGTGCCATGTTCTCCTCGTGCTTGGGTGGGTTTTCTCCATGCATTTGGGTTTCCCCCGCAGACCAAAAACCTCTACAATAGGCTGCCTTCAGACCCAGGCCTCCCTTGTAAAAGAGATCTGTGATCTCAATGGAATTTACCAGGTTAAAGAGTGGTTAATAAATAAAAAGTAATAAAAGTAAAATTCTGTGAAGATGCTGTGTACGTGTTGTGAACTAAATCCATCCATTCATACATTAGCACACTGGGCCCATTGCTTTTCCTATTATACATAAATGACCTTCCAAAAATATTGAAGTATTCAAATATTTTAATGTATGCTGATGATACTGTTCTTTTTTTTTTTAATTTCAATATTGAATCTATTAATAGTCAGTTAGAAGCAGATCTTCAGACATTTCAATATAACAAATCAACTCACTTTTTTAAACAAACCCCTTGAT